GTGCAGTCACATCCCAGCCTGGCTGTGCAGTCACATCCCAGCCTTGGATGTGCAGTCACATCCCAGCCTGGATGTACAGTCACATCCCAGCCTGGATGTGCAGTTGCATCCCAGCCTGGATGTACAGTCACATCCCAGCCTGGATGTACAGTCACATCCCAGCCTGGATGTGCAGTTGCATCCCAGCCTGGATGTACAGTCACATCCCAGCCTGGATGTACAGTCACATCCCAGCCTGGATGTACAGTCACATCCCAGCCTGGCTGTGCAGTCACATCCCAGCCTGGATGTACAGTCACATCCCAGCCTGGATGTGCAGTTGCATCCCTGCCTGGCTGTGCAGTCACATCCCAGCCTGGCTGTGCCTGCTGAGCCTGCTGAGCTGGGGAGCTCAGTGCAGTGGCAGGGGCTGTGTGGAGGCCCAGGGCTGGCAGAGTGTGCCTGGAGGGAGCTGCCTCCCTGCACAGCACTGCCCCAGGGTCCTCTCCGTGGAGCACTCCAGCCTCTGTGGCCCCAGACAGACAGTGGCATGGCCCTCCTGGATCACAGGAATTCTGGTGGGCTGTAGTTTGGATAGCCCCACCAAGCCATGTGCCAGCACAAACCAACATGCCTAATTAAACACTCAGCTTTGATTCCATCACAGCCCTGCTTTCACTGCCAGAGCCAGGCCCCACTTCACCACGGGGTCCTGGATTTCTTCCAGCTCCAGAGCTGAGGTTCAGGGAATGCTGCAGTACAGAGCCCATCAGGGAGGACTGCACCGAGTCATTGGGGGCTGACAGCATTTCAGATTCATTCTGATAGGATCCCGATAGCTTGTCCCCTATAAGTGGGATTTCCAAGATGGAGCTCTTACATAACATGTGGAGATGACTTTGTTGAGGGAAGTTTTGGTCCTCCCACTTTCCCAAGCTGTCCTTTCAGAAAGCATGCAATGTGTCCTTCAGCTGGAAGGACAGAACTGATTTTCTAGCAGGGATTCTGAAACCACAGCTTGTTTTGGACTGTCAAGAAACAGGGATATAAGCTCTGTCAAAGAATGCCCCTGAAAAGAGGTGATTTTAAGTGTGAATCCATGCTTTGCCCTTCTCCTCCTCTTCCTTCCCAGTCACAGGCAGCAGAGGCAGAAAGCACAAGCAGTTCTGGGGTGAAGGAGGTGTGATACTCTGGGACCCTGCCTGAGTCGTGTTACAACAGGACAAAAATCCCTGAGTGTTAATGATGAAAACCAGAGAAGCTCCAGTTACCACTCATGGACCAGCTGTTCTAGAATGTTCCTTCCCCACCTCTCCCTGGCAAGCTATAGAATTGCTGTAGGGCACTGCAACACTCTCCAGCACATTCCTGGAGTCAGTATTCCCTGGAACACAAGCACCTTGTGTTCCCTGGAACACAAGCATCCTGTTTGCAGTAGGATCCTCTCAGGGGAAGGTGTTTGTTCACACCCTTGCACAGTTATTCCTCTGTGCTGCACAGCCAGTGTTGCCTGGTTTTCCCTTGCTTGTGAATGCAAATGTATTCCAAGGAGGGGCCATGAGCTGGTACCTCCTGAGACATTTGGGATTGGAGTTGTTTTACCTGCAGTTCAGACATTTACACTTGGAGTTCATAATCTGGGCTTACTTAGGGGAATTCCTGAGCCATGGTGCATCTCCCCAGGTTAAACCGTGCCACAGCCCAGGTGTGTCACCCTGGGGGTGTATCCTTCCAGAGACTCCAGTGAGACAGCCCAACCATCATATAAGAAGCTGCATATCCATTCACCTGTCCCCTGAGCCATCCATTCCCTCAGGCTCTTTCTGTGCTTTTAATCTATTATAGGAAGAAAGGCACTTCCTCAGTCTGACAGGGCTTCACCCTGTCCCTGGCTGGAGTTCCCTGGGTTACAGGAGGGTTGGAGCTCTTTGAAAACACACAGAGGTGTGAGAGGAAAAGTCATTAGCACAGTAAAAACCCTGGTGACACAAAAGATCCATTCAGAGGTGCTTCTGCAAAGTGCTGTTCTGGCTTCATTAAAAGCACAGCCCCTGGCTCTCCCTCCCACAGCCTGGAATCACTTTGGGTTATCTAAATGAGAATGATCAGTTCTGCAAGGGGGAGAAAAAAGAGGAAACCAGGAGGAATTATTCTTTATGAATTATGTGCTCAGCTTTCATACTGACCTATTGAGTCAGCACTGAGAGCTGGATTTCCTAGAACAGCCTTTCATGCTGCATTTTGGATATGCTCTTCTTTTCAGCCCAGAAATACCACTAGAATGGCCTTTCTCACACTGACTGGCATTGTGGGCTCCAGCTGCATCTTGGATGCTGCAGAAATAATGGAGTTTAGCAGCAGTTATCCAAATCATTCATCCTTCTGGTTTCCAGCATCCTTCTGTGGCTCCCTCCCAGCCTGGATTGAGCATGTTAACCCTGCTCTGAGCACATGACCTCGTGGCACCCTGATTAGGTGGGGAGGTGTTAATATCTGGTGTGGAAACAGGCATCCAAATTGAACAGCCAGCTCTGACAGCACAGTGATGAGCCAATTCCAACTGGCAAACCGTGATTCCTTCCCTTGATAACAGTGATAACAAAAGTTTTCTGCCTTTTTAGCTCTTGAACTGACTCACTGTGGGAGGAGAGGGGGCTGATCCGTGGTACAGGCAAATGTGGCAGGTACCCACTGCCATGGGTGGTGGGAGGAGCAGGACTGTTGCTGTTGGAGCAGCCAGGAGTTGTATGGATTTAGCCATACAGTCACACAGCACACCCGTGGCCTGTCCCAGACACCTCCTGACAGGCATTTCCCTCAGAGTCACCTTCCCCTCTGGAGGTGATTCCCAGGGGAGTCACCTCAATCCACCTGTGCCCAGGCTTGGAGGAGCCCAGGCTCTGCTGTCTTACATACACCTGGGTCAGGGTCTGTGTCCCTTCTGGCCACTGCCTGTGAGGAAGTTGTGTCTGCAGGTTTATTTACATCCCAAGAACTGACAGTTAATCCTGCCACATCCCCAAGGAAATGGTGAGACTGGACAGGTGTCACTGTGTGCTCTGCAGGGCTCATTGGAGGTCAGCTGTACAACACACGGGCTCACACTGTGGAGAGGTGTGGTGGCAGGGCAGGGACAGGACGTGTGACCGGGCAGGGCTGGAGCAGCCGAGGTGTGAGGGCAGAGCTGTGGAGGGGACAGGGCAGGTGACACGTGGGCCAGAGTGAAGGGGCTGTGGGAGGACTGTTGGGGAATCCAGAGAGAGCACAAGGGGCTACTCAAGCTCTGTGGGAAGCTTCAAGCAGGATTAGGACAGAGCTAAATGAAATAATCCTGTGAGGGAGCACCATCCTCAGGTCAGGGAGGAAAGGCAGGGATAGAGCTGGGACATGCAGTCTTACCCGATTCACTGTAGTCTTCTTTGCTCCTCAATTCCTCTACTTTTTGTTCCCTTCCATTAAATCCAACTAGGACATGGTGTCACCAGACTGCAGGCTGGGCTGCACAGCAGGCAGGCTATGTGTGCCTTCAGCCCAGGCAGGGCTCCTGAGCAGGCCTGGCCCTGGCTGCTGACAGCAGGGAGTCTCTGCTCCCTTCACACACCGCTGGCCGAGTGTTTCCCCCTCCTCTGCCAGAGACGGCAGGTCTGTGTGTGCGAGGAGCAGGGATTCACATTCCTCCAGGTGAGGTTCCAGGGCAGGACACATTGGCAGGGCTGGGCCGTGGGTGTTGGACCTCCATCCATCCCAGCACTGTCCAAACTGCCCTGGTGACACGGCAGCACATGGGGAGGATGCCAGATGTGTTCAGTGTCCGTGTTTTCGGGGGATGCACTGGAAGCCAGCACACTGTGTGGTCCTTACATATCCAAACCACTGCCAGGCTGAATCGCAGCATTATTCAATATCCTGAGTTGGAAGGAACCCACAAGGATCATCAGGTCCAGCTCCTGGCCCTGCACAGACACCCCAACAATCCCACCCTGTCCCTGAGAGCATTGTCCAAATGCTCCTTGAGCTCTGGCAGCCTTGGTGCTGTGCCCACAGCCCTGGGGAGCCTGTTCAGTGCCCAACCACTCTCTGGGGGAAAGACCTTTTCCCAGTATTAGGAAAGTCACCTCTCTCCATGAACTGTGTTAATGGCAGAAGAGGCTGAGCCACACAGGGCCAGCAATCCCTCTGCAGAGCCCACCTCAGGTAGGGAAAACTAAACCTGGATGGATACAGAGCTCAGGGTAGGAGCCACCACATGCCCTGTGTGTCTGTCATCACAAAGCTGGGCATTAAAGAGCCAAGCAGCCCAAAGTCTCCACAACACTCCACTGTAGGGAAAACAGTGTCCCTCATGTGCCTTGGCTGCACATGCAGCGTGGGGATAGGGACCCTCGAGACCCGACTGCAGAGCTGTGTACAGGTTTCTGGGCTTCCTTGCTAAGAACTCCTGTACAGCTCTGCCATGCTTCTCTGTTCCTTGCCTACCTTTGCTGGGATACAGCAGAATACAAGAAATACAAGAAAATAGATGAATCAGATCCTCTTCTAGAAGTCTCTGCTGAGTTTGAAGCTGTTCTTTCTTGCATTTGATATGTGCAGAGACTGCAGCTGACATCCAGTACAAAGACAGCTGCCACCATGGGTCACTGTGTAACATATATTCAGCAAGAACAGAAATCAAAGAAGGGCACTGCAGTTAAAAGATGTAATGATAGAGTTTATTTCCGAGGAGTGGCTAATGTTCCAGAAATATTTGCAACCAGCTTATTTTATAAAATGAGTTATGGAGCTTTTAATGTTAAATTAGAAGGCAAAAACACAGGGCAAGAGAGGTGAATGATTATGATTTTGTATTTTGGTTTTTAATCTGTTTTTCAGCTGGTTCTGCTTGCATACTGTGCCTGACCTGAGCTGATGCAGCCTTTTCTGTCACTTTAGCAAGTTCTTGACCCTGATACTGTGTCTAATTATGTTGGGTTGGTTGTTTTTGGGGAGCTGCCATCTAATCTGCTCCCTGTCGGCCCCTGCAGATCTTCCACATGACCTACGATCTGGCCAGTGCCGTGGTGAGGATCGTGAACCTCATTGGGATGATGCTGCTGCTGTGCCACTGGGACGGCTGCCTCCAGTTCCTGGTGCCGATGCTGCAGGACTTCCCCGACGACTGCTGGGTGTCCCTGAACCGCATGGTGGTGAGTGCCAGCCCTGCCGGGCCCTCGGTCACCCTACCCAGCGCCCACATGCCATCCGCCAGCTTCCCAGTGCCCCCCAGTATCCAGCTCTGCGGGCACGGAGGCGCCTGGGAGGCAGATCCTGCAGGGAGAGGTCCCGGGGCTGCGGAGCAGGACCCGGCCCGGCAGAGCTGCTGCGGGTCCTGCTGTGGAAGGCAGGAGCCAGGCTCCCCCTCCTGGCTCCAAACAGCAAGGAGCAAGGGTGGAAACGGCTTTCTAAGGGCTTCTGGGCATCCTGAGCCAAAGGAAGAGACAGAGGGGGTCCTGGAACCGTAGCTGGGTCTGATCCATCATTCACATCACCGGTCCCAAAAAACTGGGAAGCCCTCTGCTCCATATCCTCTTGAAGGGCCGGTGTGATCACCCTCCCTTCCCTCCATGGAGCTGCACAACATCCCATTAGGGTGGGCTCACACAGACCCTGCCGGGCCACAGTTGGGCCTCCCATCATGGGATCAGGAGCCAGACTTCCCAACGCCATCCCAGGCTGTGCTGCTCCTCTGCTGTTTGCTGTGAGGGAGTTTGATACCATATGGTAAATGCACGGGGAGTTCATGGTACCTTTCAACCATCTTGCTGAGAATTCAGGATCTTTTATTCAAAGGGACAATGTCCAGTTGATTAAACAGCAAAAACTGACAAAGCTTAAAAAATTGCCTCTCATTGCAGCTCTTAACCTCCAGATTCCCCCAGCCAATTTCTTCTGAAAAAAAAAGGAAATAATCAGGCACTCGGGCAGAACAGAACAAATGTAAAATGTATAAGAGCTGTGCCAGCTCGCCATGCCTCCCACATGCAGAGCTGTGGGCACTTGCTGCCTGTGCCTGAGAGGAGTGAGCATCCATGAAAAAGTCGTCTGTTTGGGGTTTATTTATTCATTTCTTCCCTCTGCAATAATCGTTCACTTCCTGCTGCTGAAAGGTGCCAGACTGGCAGTTCTGGAGTCTGGAACCCTCTATTTATCTCCAGCAGAAGAGCAACCCATGCAGCAGCTGCCTGGTCTTCCCCCATGCTGCCTTTTTATTATTTATATGGCAGGAGCAATCAAAGATCAGGGCCCCCTTGTGCTGTTCAGGTTCAAGAGGACACTCAGCTCATCACCCTGGGGAGCTCAGAGGTGCAGGCTGAACCCATCCCCATCCCATGAGGAGACTTGGCTGTGGTGCCCTTGCAGGACAGGTTCAGAACAGCACATCTGAACCATGTTTCCCTTATCCCAACATCCGGCTGCTGGTTGATGGCAACAACTTCTCTTTGCTCTTCCCATCCATCCCTCGGGGAAGAGGTAAAAGCTGGGGTTGCAGCTGCCCTCGGGGTAACTGTAGGCAAGGGCAAAGGTCTTGAAAAGTGGCAGAAGGCAGGACAGAGGAAGAAGAGATTTAGCCAAGGCACCTTTCTAACAGCAACACTGGGGAGAGGGGGAAAGATGCCTTCCAGAGGCAGGAAGGCTCAGCAGAATCTCCAGGAGGGGCAGGGTACCATGCTTCTATCTGGAGCAGAGCTTCACTCATGCTGCAGTCTTGTCTTCCCAGCCTTGAGAGCCTGTGAATCTGGGAATTAAACTGGCCTTGTGTGACTTTTCTTCTTCTTTGCAGCTAAATCACCTTCTTTTTTTTTTTTTCCACTTAATAGAAGTGGAAAAAGAATTATTATCTCTGAAAATGGAGCCTCAGGAGACTGGGATTGAGAACTGGAGAGATGGTTATATGGTTATATGCCCCACCTATAGTTCAGGTGGCTTCCACTTCAGGAATATGCCAGCCCCAGAATAGCTTGAGATGGGAATATTTAAAAAGGAGAGTAATTAGTTCTTCTGGAATCAGATAGGTTTTTTTTTTCTCACAATAATGTTCTTTAATCTCCTGAGACAATTTCCAGATGTGTCTTTGGGACCAGTGATGGATGTGGATGGGATTTACATATGGTCTGAAGTGAAGTAATAGCAGAGGCCACTGAGTCAGGAGCAACAAGAAACTGGAGGTCTGGGCTCTTCTCAGGCTTTGGTGCCAGGATGTTGATGGAAGTTTCCAGAATGGCTCTGCTTGAGTGCTGTGATGGACAGGGTTGGGAGGGGAGAAGCCTGGATGGCATCAGTCTGTGACAGTAGGTTGGATTCTGGGACATTCTGTACTGACCTGGTCATAGCTTTGAGGAGATAAATACACTTGGTGCACGACTGCCCTGATTACACACAGGAGCCACAAAGCTGGGATGGAACCACTGTAGAAAAAGAGGAATCTTCTGAAGCTGCTGTAGGCAAGGGGAGCTGGAAGTGAAGTGCCAAAAGCTTCAGAGGCTTTCTCCTTGAGTGTGCTGGTGCTGCTTTTCCACTGCTCTGGGGTTTCCCACCTAGTCATTGGCAGTCCATAAAACCAGCTCTGATTTCGATGCAGCAGAGAAAGGAGATTCATCATCTCCCATCTGCTTCCTAAAGATTTGATCCTCGTCCAGGGGATTTGTGAAGGGCCTGGTGTTGCCAAAATCATATCAGGGGCTCGATAAATCCCTGAGTCCACTTCATCTTGGTGTTTTATACATGCACCATGTTCCATCTTTAGCAATTGTGAAGGAACTGGTCTCTGGATGACTCCTGAAATGGCAGGGAAGGATGTTTTCAGTATTAATTGCTCAGCCCCAGTCCCAGGGGCTTCAGCATTAGCTTCCCTGCAGTGCACTTTATTAAAAACTGGAAGCACTGGTGAGTCAGCTGCTGCTGTTCCCCGAGACCCTGCCCTGGCAGCTCCATCCCAGGAACCCGAGCTCTGCTGAGACCTGAAGGCTGCTGGAAACACGTGGCTCATTCCCTGGGGTGTTGTGCTGAACTGATAAACCCTGCAGGGAAGGCAAATATCCCTGTGGCAAACTCAGCAACCTTGCACAGGAAACACTGATCCTCCTTCCTTCCCCCAAAGGGAGGGGAGCAGATTCACTTTGAGCTTATGCCCCCTCCCTGCTCACAGCACTTTCTTGGGGCGTTGCTGATAGAAAGCAGGAAGAGAGAGGGATGCAGCACGTGTTGTGGGAAGACAGAGCAGTCCTGCATGGCTGTGCTGTGTGATTCCTAACTCCCCCAAGCCTCTGGGCCAGCAGGTCCCTCCTGCCCTCCCTCAGCAGACATTAAGTCTGAGTAGTGATTATCATGTTCTGTAAAATCTGTTAGGGAGCAACAAGAACAGGGCTGCTCCACGATGGGATGTGAGCCAGGAGCTAAGGGCAACAGGCACAGGCAGTGCCCTCACCAGCCAGGGCACAGTCCTGCCAGTCCAAAATCAGGTGGGCAGAGCAGAACTGGTGATAACTGGGGCTATTGACTGTTCCAGGGAAGGCAGGGTGACAGTCACATCCAGGGTCTACCCAGGGAGTCCAGCTGGGAGTAGCATGAGGTGGGAGCAGAGGCAAGGCTGGAAACAAGGGCACAGCACGTGCTCAGTGCCCAGGACATGGGTACAGTGAGCTCAGGCAAGGTGTGGGTGCCAGGCCTGGAGCAGAGTGTGCTTGGGGGGGTCCCAGGCAGGGCTGACTGGGGCAACTGGGACTGGTGCCCTCAGAGTCCTGGGAAACTCCCTGCTGTCAGGTGGAGGCCACACGGAGCTCTCCTTGGAAACAAGCCCAGAACAGGCGGTTCTGTCCATTTCTTCCCCCCAGGTGTGTTTTCCCGGCCCAGCAGTTCCAGCGCTGTCCAGGGGAGGGCAGGGGTGGTCAGAGCCCTTATTTCACAACTGGGTCTGAGGGCAGTGCAGTAGCAAACCCCGAGAAACAGCTCAGTGGCCAGATAAGATTACTGCTGAGACGCACACGGGAGCTCACAAGGCTGAAATATGGCCTGTCACCACTACAGCTCCTTAGTTCTCTGAAAAGTTAATGGTGTAAGTCAGGCATCCATTGTGCCCGTAGACTGTGCCCCAGCCCAAGAAGTTCCAGTGCTTCTCTGTGTCTCTTCTTCTCTCACTAATCTTCTCCAGTGAGGATTCAGCCAGACACACTCAGTGCACATCAGAACCAGAACACCCTGTAAGACACCATACTTTTCCTCGAGCTGTTTCTACACTACAGACACTACAGAACCCAGCACTGCCTTTGAAGAGTTCCAGGAACGTTGTCTCCAAGTATTTAAAGGTGGATCTGAGCAGAGGCATTGCAGTCCAGGCTCTAATCCCAGAGAAACCCTTCTAGCACTGCCAATGTTGATGTTAAAAGCAAACTAGTCTGAGAAAATTCTTCCAAGTAATTTTAACTCCCTTTTGCAAACGCTCTCCGTGCCTGGCATGTGTCTGGGATAACACCCCTCTTGACTCTGTTCAAGCACAGATCTGTAGCTCCATTTTTGCTTGCTTTGGGATTTGGTTAACAAAGAGTCATTTTTTTTCCCTGCAGTTTAAAGCCTCATTTACCTCCCCTCATGGGCCATTTTAGCCACTCCAGTATATTTGAAGTGGTACAGCCCTCCCACCATGGGGACTGGTGGAGTGGGATATTATATAGGGGTGTGGCTCTTATGGAAACAGGCTGTGCCAGGAGGAGGCACCTGGTGCTGGTAAACCTGTGTCCACAGTATGTTTGGAACCACCATTACTAGCCTGGCCTAAACTACTGCATTCTTCACCTCCCTGCTCCTCCTATGGAGAACAAAAAGCCTTAAATCTAAAGTTATTCTAAACCTATAGGCAAGGAATCGTCACATAGGCAGTGCCATGAGTGAGAATCCAGTGCTCTTTACAGATTGTATCCTAAAGGTCATTGCTCTGAAAGGTTTCCCCTTCACAGAAGTGCCTCTCTTTGAGCAGTCCTTGGTCTCCTCTCCCAGCAGACCACGCTGCTCAGGATTTGTTTGAAGCACTCCATGTTTTCCTGCAGCTCTGGCCCCTCAGCCTGTCTTTACTCATCCGTCTCCTCAGTCTGTCCTCACATGAGTGCTGCTCATGGGAATTGAGGTTGGGACTTGTGACTTCCCAGGGAGCCAGAAGTATTTCTGCAGGCTACAAGGGCTCAGTATGTTGGATGTTAGAGTTTGGGATGACTAATTCCTACAAAACACTGGCAAGCTTCTTTGTAAACAGCACTCCTGAACAGCAAGTTGCTGGAAGAATGGCTTTTAAAACTTGAGCCTGCCTGGTGCCCAGATGTTCACTGCCATTAGAGACCCTGGCAGCCAGTTTTCTAATACATCACATTCTAGCTCAGCTATTCTTATTCTGTCTGCCCAAATTCCCTTCGGAATTTCACCTCGGCATTTCTTTCCTCCCTGCTCTCAATTCTGTTGTGGAGGTGTGCTGCCCTGTTAAACTACTGCCACACTGAACTCAGAAAGCAGCAGCATTTCTGCAACATCCAGTGAGAAATGGGAAAGGAATTCATTTAACAAGGAAGGAATGGGACAGGACACCTGCCCTGCCCTCTCTGCCCCAGTAAAGCTGGACACGTGCTTCCCACTTTTACAGCCGATGCACCATTTTAAGCAAAAGTTGTCTCAGGATTCCAACTTCTCTGCTGAAGCAGGGACATGGATGGGCTAAAGCCATGGATTCACAGCCATTCTGTAAGTGCAGGGGCTTTAGCTGCCAGTACTCCAAGGCTGAGGGAAAGGGCCTGTGTCTCATTGAAATGTTAGCACTGAGGCTGCAGGAATGCCTGTGTGAGCTGCTTAGTGCCTTCATGGATCAGAAGTGAGTCTCCAAAATGACAGAAAACATGGAGGGTGAAAAAAAATGCCTCCCCCCTCTCCCAACTTCTTAGGCTAGGACTCTTGGAGCCACAACCTAGGCATGAAGGAGCAAGAGGATTCACTCCTTTGGCCCTTACACCTGAGGCAGCACCATGGCCAGACCCTTCCTGCTGCCCTGGACAGAGCCACAGGTGCCCTTTGCCCTCCCCTGTTCCTGGCTCCCCTTTGGGCTGCAGCTCCTCACACACACGAGCAACTGCACAGCCAGGAGCAGTCACCAATGGCCACATTGTCTCTTGCCCCCTCTCTCTTGGCTCGAGGGTAGTTTTTCCAGGGGAGCAGGTTCCTGCTTTGTTAGGAGGTGAGCCCAGACAGGCTGGCGCCAGCAGGGAGCAGGTTGCAATCTCTGCTGGGCTGTGAATGTGCTGCTTCTCCTGTGTCTGCTCTGCTGGCACTGCTGTGGCTTTGCCCTTCTTGTTGCAGAGTGAATCAGGCCTCTCTTGCATAATGTAACTGAATCTGGCCCGGTAACACTAACCCTGTCTTTGTCCACGTGCTTATCTCCTAACCAGGCATCAGCTCCCTCCAGAGGTCCCAGCTCTGTGCCACAGCTCCCAGCAGCAGGGCTGTGCTTTGTCACTGTTTGCTACCTGTAAGATGACTGAAAAATTTCCATCTGCATCAGTGGCTCTCAGAGCTTTTTGCAGGGATCTTCCCCACCCACCTCACCGTGCTTGCACACCTCCAAGAGGTGCCCAGTAAATCCAGGGGATCCCAGCCCTGCTGGGCACTGCTGCTGAGGCTGATGAGTGGAGGTCACACAAGTGTTCCTTGGCTGTTTGACCAGCCACCACCAGGCTTTCTGTGCAGTGACCTTCCCAGTTGCTGTGTACATGTGTCTGCACAGCTACATCCATAACGTTCACACCTTCCTAGGAGCAGAGAGCAGGCTGAGGAGTGCTCAGGTCGCGTGCTGCCATGAGTGTCACGTAGCACAGGCATTTTTCACATGCCTTGGAAGAGCAATGTGTGATGACAGTGCATTTACTTTACAAGGTTTTATGGCAAGGACTTGCTAGCAGATAGTACCCACAGGACAGCAAATGTACCTTGAGCTGTTCCATGAACTCAAGCTAATCAGAATAATCATGAATCTTATGCTGGTTTTTCTCCCTGTGCCATGATGTAATTGCTGAGGTGCTGCTTGTGTGAGTTGCAGTGGCAGAGCACAAGGTGTCCTGGAGGAGCCTCTGCCTTCCACTGGCCTCTCCTGGCAGGTTATTGCTGCTCTCAAATGAGACCATTTGTAGTTGTCTCAGCTCCCTGAAAAAAAGCCCCGTTTTACACTGAGAAGAACTTGCTGTCCGCACATTATCAACTTCATTTTCTGCCCTTCCCACCTCCTCAGGTAATGACCACAGATCCTGACCATTTCCTAAATTGCTGGGGAGTGATTTTCCCCACTCTAAGATCTTGCTGCCAGTAACCTTGCTCAGGCAAGGTTTTACCAGTCTTTTACCAGTTCTGCTTTAAAGTCCATTTCCCACTGGAGTAATCACTCCCTTCAGTTCCTTCTCCCACATGTGGGCCATTGTGAAAATATCCCAGTGCATCATCTCAGTTTATCCCAGGTTAGCAGCATGTCAGACAGTCTGGCTTCCTTGCTGGAAAGAGTACATGGAATCGGGAAGAACTGTGGCCAAAGTAGGTAGTGTCAGATGACTAAATCCGTGCTTATTTTTCCAAGTGGAGCGTGCCCAGCTGCTCCAAGCCACCGCAGAATTAAACTGCCTGTTTAACATATGGAGGTGCTTTAACCACGGATTTTGGGGTGCAACGTTGGGTGTGCTTTTCCGAGCCGTGTCCGTGTGTGGCACCCCGTGTCCCGTGCTGAGGCTGTGCCCGTGTGTCTCCACAGAACGACTCCTGGGGGAAGCAGTACTCCTACGCCCTCTTCAAGGCCATGAGCCACATGCTGTGCATCGGCTACGGGCAGCAGGCGCCCGTGGGCATGTCGGACGTGTGGCTCACCATGCTCAGCATGATCGTGGGCGCCACCTGCTACGCCATGTTCATCGGCCACGCCACCGCCCTCATCCAGTCCCTGGACTCCTCCCGCCGCCAGTACCAGGAGAAGGTAAGGACTGGGCTTGGCAGCCCCCCTGCGGCCCCACGGGGCTTTCTGTGCTCTCAGTGACCCCGAGGTGCGGTTCCCTGGTAATTCATCCCCATCCATTCACTCCAGCAGACCCTCTGGAAGAAACAGATGCAAGATCAGATGGATAATAGTAATGGAAGTGGGTGATTTTTGTTGTCTCTGCTTGTCTTTTTAGATCGACGTTATCAATGTCGCTGCTATCTGAAATCCTAAGTTGCTTTTTCCTTTCCGAGATCTTGTTTCAAACCCCAAGTGAACGTTCCAGAATGTGCAGCTTTTGTTTAGCAAGTACTCTGTTAAAAGTATCCAGATTATTCACTTCAGTGCTCATGAGTGAAGGTACAGAACAAACCCCAAAGCCCAGATCAAAGCTGGGAGCTCGGAGCAGGTTCCCCGGGTAGCTGTGGAATTAATTGCACCGTTGTTGAACAGCACAATGGAGGGCACAGCCTGAAATGTCACAGCTGATCAGGCTCCCACTGCCACAGCAGCCATGGATGGTGCTGGGTTTAAGGTGATGCTGTAAATCTGTGAGATGGTCAGGGCATCCAAAAAAAAAGCACCTTCCCTCAGTTAGTGGGGCTGGGGAAGCCATAGGTGAGGAGCTGTTACAGTCAGGGTCCTATGGATACATTCAAACTGGAGACTAAGAGGAACTGGTCCTATTCTGTCTGACCTTGCCAGGTGCAGTCAGAGTAGGTGAAAGGGGAGCTGTGATTCAAGTGAGGAAACTGTGGTAAGCATGCACAGTCCAAGTGAATTTTATGTTGAGGGAGGAGGTGGGATGGCCTAGGAACAGGTTTCAGACATAGAGATTACAGTGCTGGGCCATGGAAAGAGAGCAGGGCAGAGAGGGAGAGCAAAGATGGTCAGAGGCTGACTCATGCTTTGAGGATAGGGAAGATCCCAAACCACAGCTGGAACCAAAAGAGAGAGAAAACCCAGGAGAAGAGCATAGAGGACCAGGATGCATCCAGAACACTGGGCTTTGTGTAGAGTTTTAGCTCTGTGTTACAGCTCAGACTAATTCTAATGGACAGCAAGGCATGCCAAAGAGAAGGACACTGCAGCACCAGGAACGCAAGCTGATCAAATCTCTGGATGCAGAGTATTTATTCAAATGTGTTTGAAGTAGCATAGAAGTCAAGGACTGATTTGCAAATCCAACCACCTGGCCAGCCTAGAGCAGCCAAGGTTACACCTGCAGCACTGGGCACTACGGGCTTTGTCTCAAGCCAGGCCTGAAGACAAGGGCAGACGTTGACCCTGGAAGTTGGATTCCAGTCAGTGCTCAGGGAAACCAGTCACCAGGAAGCCAGCAGGGACTGCAGTGGGGGTGGCAGGAGCAGTGTGAAATGTTAGAGCCTTATTAGAATGTGGAGACGTGAATGACAGTGTTAATGGATACAGGGGAAGAGCTTTGTGACAAAAGCAGCAGACAGAGGATTTCACAAAGGGTGTATTTCATGTGTAGTGGTTTTAGCAGGTTCATTTCCCAAGTTTTTCTCCGGGGATCGAAGCCTCAGGGATTGAATACGTTAATTTTCCTCTTGCAAATGGGACAAATGATGGCCTAAAAACAAATATGTATTTACTTTCTGAATTCCTTAGCACTTGAATAGCCATGATTAAAATGAGGCTGCTCCGTGATTTGCAGCCCTGAAACTCAATTTAGTTCAGTCCTCATGGGACAAAGTGTCTGGTGAAGCATATTATAGAGAGAATCTCAACAAGTTTGGAGGTCGACTGGTAGAAGCAGCAATTGAGAGACCTCTGCTGAGGGCACCTGTGGGCTCTGCCTCTCTCCTCAGCACAGCTCAGCCTACAGGGACTTTGGGAACTGTTCTGGGAATAGCCAGAAAAAGGGGAGGCAGTGGGGAGGGAGGGGAACAGCAGGAACATCAAACAGGAGAGGAGGTTGTAGCTGGTAACTGTCCTGAGAGGCTTTGCTTGGTGTAACCCTCAGGACAAGGTTCAGGAGCAGGTTTTTGGTGAGGTTTCAGGTTGTCTAGACCTCTGCCAAACCAACTTGTTCTTCCCTTGTACAAACAGGGCTTTTGAGAAGAGGAATAAAAGCCAAGCCATGCTGTCTGTTGGCTTCAGGAGCAGGGCTTGCCTCCCTCTGCCTTGGATTCACTGAACATTTGAACATTCAATCCCTGTCCTGTCTAAATCCGGTCCTGTAGCATCTCATTTCATGCTGTGTTGGTTTCTGCAAGGCAGGGAAGCTGGATGGGATGGATGGGGTGGTAAGAACCATGGAGAATTTGGAGAGGGATATTGCCCCCTCCAGGCCAGTGCAGTGCTGAGGTTCCTGAGTGCAAGTGGGGAGTCCCCTGTGGCACAGAGCAGTCACCACCACGGGCACTGCAAGGGGCACAGCCACCGTGCAGGTCTGGCCCTGGCCTCCCTTGAAAAGCTCTGGCTCAGAACAGCTCTCTAGATCTGGCACTCTGATGTGACTGTTTGATTTCCAGTCCCAGAGGCAAAGGTAAAAGGGACCTGTCTGTCACATCTTGCATTGCATAGTTTTTATGGTCACAGAGAGTCAGTGGCAGGATCAGCAGCTGACTCTTATCTCTTAACCTCAGCCTAGTGTTACATCTTTGCAATATCTTTGCATCCAAGACTGGTGTCTGTTTGCTGCATGAGACAATGCCCCTACAGGTCTATCCTGAAGGATTCTGATAGAAACATTTCCCAAAGTCATGTTGTGCAGTTCCATGTTATAACTGAGTCAACTTGACAGCTTTGACCTGGGGGGGGAAGCCCCACATACTTGGCCTCACCCATTGCTCCCTGCCACTGTTCTCAGCTGTGCTTTCCTTACTTCATACTGCTCAGACCTTCACTCACATCTAAGCTCATCACTGACTGCAGAAGTACCCCACAGCCTGCAGTAACTCTGGCTCACGTGAGAGGAAGTGTTTCCTGCCCAGGAGAGGAATAAACTAGATGGATATGCAAGTTATTTTCGTGCTTTTTGCAGGTTCTCCTATTAATTTCTTTCCCTAATCCTAGAGCTCAGCTGGATTAGTATTTCTGTCAAGTCACCACACACACACACACACACACACACACACTCTCATCCTCCCCAGCAGACTCGGTAACCTTGAGGCTTTGGGGAGGGTGACTGTGCTGTTTTCTGCAGCCACGCTCCTTGGAACAGAGCAGAGACACTCCAGGCTCCTCTCCCCCATCCCAGCAGGATGCAGGCAGTGATGGGCATTGTGCAGGGCTTGGCTCTCTGTATCATCTCCCCAGGTGCACACAGAGGAGTGACTGAGGAGAGGTGGGAATTGCTGCTGTCAGCGTTGCAGAGCCCAGCAAAGCTGTAATCTCTCCTTCCAGAGCCTCATCTCTCCTCAGGATCCGTGCTACACTGGCACTCTCTCCAGCTCTCTGCTCTCCACATTCATTGCCCCCCTCCTCCTCCTCCCTGAGCAGTCTATCCAGGGCCTCTTGTTCTTAAAATATATCTGGGCAGGTCCTTGCATATTCACTTGTCATTATTCTGAAGAAGCACGTGCTGCAGCACAGTTGCAAGGGGACAAGCAGGTAACGCTGAGGAGAGAGTCACTTTATAAACCCTGCAGAGCACTGGTGACATCACCTCTCAGTTCCTGACACAGCCCTGCCCAACCATCAGCACAGCCTTTCTTCCCACAGTTCATCCCATGGTCTGGCTGTCCAAGCACTTTATTGTCTAACTATCAGCATTTAAGCCTGACTTCAACAAAGAGTAATTGGGGAAAATTTAGTCATTTTAAAGGCTGAAGTATAACAACTGGAATGTTCCATCTCTGTTAGAGATGTTGGACCAGTATTTGTTGGAGGGGAATTCAGACACTGCGCTTGTGCCTGCAGTGAGAGCTGAGAATCTGTCTAGGCTCAGGTCCCTGCTCTTTCTTGGAGACCAGCAGCAGAGAGTCTTATTGGGCAGCAGGTTTAAGGAGTTATTTGGGCTATTTTATGGTCTGTAATGAAACTGTGGAACTCACAGCTGCGAGGTGCTGTGGAGGTCCGAGGTTTGATTAGCCTCAGAATATTTAGGCAAATTCACGTGAGGAAAACCTGTCAAGTGCTGCTGATTGCTGAGGTGCAGATCCAGCCCCTGGCAGTGGGCATCCCTAATGTGCTTTTGTCAGAAAAGCCAGGAGGGTGTAGGTGGGAGCTGGAGTGCTCTGTGCCTCTGTTGCTCCTCCTCCTCTTCCTCTTCCTCACTGAATCAGTGTGTCTGGACACACAGCACCAGGTGAAAGGAGCTGCCCCTTCACAGCTGCCTTGGTGCTTTTGGCTGGTTTACTGTGCAGTTTGGTGTTCTGAGCTGCCTCCAATGGTGTGTGCAGGCAATTGGGTGCAGAGATCTGAGCTGGGGTCCTGGATGCAGGATAATCACATTAGCCTGGCAACTTGCCCTTGCTGATTAGTCTCCCCCTCCACTCCCCCTCAAGCCAAGCTAATTAACCCGAGCACAGCCCTGTACTGGAGCTGCATTAATTCTCCTGGCTCCAGGGCTGCCTGGGGGACAGCAGGGCACAGATACACTGAGGTAACTCGTGTCAGCTGCTCTGAGCCCGGAGTTGGGAACAGACTGCCGGAATTCCCACACCTGCTCTGCCACAAAGCTGGCGGGGGGAAACTTCATTACCAGTCTGGGCAGGATTTGAAGTGACATTCCCAAGTGCCTGTAGGTTCTCAGGTGGCATTCCCACATTCCTAGAGTTCAAAGGGGTTCTGTAGAAGTCCCCTCCCGAGCTAACATCCGTTCCGATGCCAGGAAAGCTGCAAAGCTCCTGTACTCCTTTGGTAATGTGTGTGAAGGAGAGGGTACAGAGTGTGCAGCACTTCAGAAATTAAAGGTGTTTGGAAAACTTAATCAAATGCAGAATGTAATCAGATTTCCTAATTGGAAAAAGTTTGGAGAGCTTTGCTTCATCCTGTCCTGACTGCACTGGTTGTGTGTTACCTCAGTCTGT